ATGCACACAGCCGCTCCGCACACACTCCGACGCCGCCTCGACTAATTGGTAAGCGGTGCGGTGGGATCACGCAGCGCAGCGTGTCTCCGCCACACCAAACACCGAAAACATTCAGTGTTGTCTCACTTAAAAGATCCTCCACAGGCTGTTCCCAGCTACCTTTGAAGTGAGCTCTTCACTTCCATTTAACAACTGAATAAACAGCAAACAGGCCGATTAAAGAGCTGCTGTGTCATTGACACAATTAAAGATTCATTTACAGAGGATTGTAAAGACGCTTTTATGACACTGAATCTGTGGATGGGAAACATCACACTGTCACATCTGTCAACACGTTACGTCTGAAGCCGGCAGAGCTCAGAGTGAACGTTATCATCCAGTCTAATCTTTCATGTTTCATTTACTAAAGTTTGAGCTCACAGCGCTGCCGTGTCATGTCTCTGCATCCTCGACATCCACAACCCGTGCACGGCCACCAAAACAGTCACACTGTGTTTATTACAAGTCTGGCCCCTATTTTGGGCCAATCAAAACTCTTACATGACGGTGACTCATCTCATCCATCTGTCGTGAAATAACTGGCTTCTCTCAGAGTGCAGTAAACATGTCTGTCGTGCAGCGCGGCGTATTAGTCAGCTGGCGAGCACCCATTCAAAGCCTGAGCCAGTTAAATAAGAGTTTGGGTCATTACAGGGTCCTCGGAAAACTGTTGTTCCCTGTAATGTTCCCAAAAAGTCTGAGAACAGCTGAATTAGTCTGCTGTTACAGTAAAGGGACAGAGCAGTGCGATTCACAGCTTTGTTCATTCTAAGAACTGCAAGAAGAATCAAATTTCCTCTGTTTTCTTTCCAAGCTGAATTTCTACAACACAAGAGAAAAAACATTTCCGCTCATTTCCAGCTCCATGCTGTTAAACTTAGAGTAGCTTTGCATGATTTCCAGCTCAAACACACCCCGACTCGTTTCACACAGGGCCTTGGTGATGGAGGCGGAGCCTTCTTTGATATCATACGGATCAGACACTGCTATCCATACTTTTCCTTCATGTCGTGGCACAGCGCTGGAGGAAGGACAGAAGCCAGCCTGTGCTATAACTTCATTAAGGCTGGAGTGGAAGCAGCAGGAATTTAAAAGCCTGGATAAATAGATTCAGCCGGCGTGGCTTGGTGCCACTACAGAGGGAGAGAAGAGTGTTTTTGCAATTTTAGCAAAGCACACCTTTACCTCCTCACGTGATGGTAGTTACAACATTCCACGTGAAATGATGCGTCTACTATCAAACATGCTTTCAAATCAGTGAAATCCGAAAGCTTCTCAAACCTTCAGAAACTCTTCGAGGAATCGTTGGGTTGGTTCAGCGAGGAGTGAAAATCCATCAGCTTCTTTCACACAGTTATCCAGCAAGTTATTAACAGGAGAACATGATGCAATTAACTGACAGCTGTCTCCCTGTGTCCTCTCTAAAGTCCAGTTTGGTAAAACAAAAACATCAATGCAGCCCGTTTGTGGTTGAATTGCGCCCATGCTTTTACTCCTTTCTCATGTCTCCAGTCCTCAAGATCTAATGGCTTTCCCAGCTTTTGCTCCCCTTGGAGCTCCGCCTTATTACATTTTGTCACATATAATGTCATCAGCCGGCGTGATCCTCGACAGCTCGTCCATTCGTTCACCTCCTGCAGCCACGGCCAAACTCTGCGCTCGGCACTGACAGCGCTGTTTTGTGAGGGAGTCCCCGCTGACCCGAGCCGGATCAGAGGTTCACTCGGAGCTCTCATCGCTCGACCTGATGCTTGTTCATATCAGAGCTGCAGGGCAGCTTCGCAGCAGAGCACGGCATCCGTTAAATCTGTCCAAAGGCTTTTACACCCCCTGACTGTTTTCACTGTTCACAGCAAAAAGCAGAAGAAAAAAACGGAAACACCGGCACATGGCTGGTGGGATTTTGTACTCGTGGCTCTATTTCTTTCAGTTTTTTCCTTTTGTGTGGAAAACTGGAGGACCGGCCCCAACGTTACCGTTCAGGTACTTTGAGCCCCGACGATGGAGTCTGATCAGATTTATTCATCTGATTTATTCTGTTATTTGAATTCTCACATTCATTCCACTATTCAGCCAACTGCAGCAACGCGATCAGCAGAAATGACAACAATAAGCCGAACGCTGCAACATTACAGGGAGAGCAAACAAAATCATAATGAAAACATCAGAGTGCAGCGTCTTCACAAAGTGTCCGGCTGTTACGTGCGCCGTGTTTGCTTTGTGGCGCCGAGCTTTGCTGTGATATGGAAGCTATTAAAAGGAAGAGGTGGCGACAGCTCGTGCTCACTGACAACATTATAAATGATCCACTAATAGTTTTTCACGTCGTCCAGTTGCACGCGGTGCGCTAACTAATGCAGACCTTTCACTCGGAGCAACGTTCAGAGTCACAACCGTGACAGCCATGCTAAGGTTGGGGTGGTTGCACGTGTTGCAGCCTGTGACAGCTCCACGCTCTGCAGGACTTTCTGTATTGAACCCTAACCCTCCCTCCACGATGGGAGGTGTTCCAAACCCAAAGCTGTTGGGACAAATGACTTGCAAATATCATAAAATCATATTTTATATAAAACGGAGAAAACATATTAAATCCTTAAAGTGAAAAAATTTACCGTAATTAGCTGAAAAATGTTCGTCCAGCTGTTTCTTTTTAGCACTACTTCATTTCTGCCCCCATTACATTTATTTATTTTAGATTTTACTGCTTTCATCAAATTCAGCTAATATTTTGTATGAAATATGAGTTTTCTATGTGGTGTTATAAGATCTGACGTTCATGAGATTTGGTAAGCATGGTTGTTATTTACATTTTACAAAGCGTCCCATCTTTTCTGAAGATGCAAAAGTCTGTTAAATCCATTCTTTAGTGGATCGTCTACACCAGGGTCAGCAACCTTTAGCACCCAAAGAGCCGTTTGGACCCAGTTTCCATGGAAAAGAAAACACTGGGAGCTGCAAATACTTTTTGCATCTAAAATGAAGAAAACACTGTTATTGCTTTTTTCCTTTATGCTTTGTATAAACACCTAAAGTGTGTTGCTTGTCAAATCCATGAAGTGCTACAGAGAAAATTTTATTTTATTTATGTAATGAACACATTTTGAACTCTTAAAATTAAAAAGTTTAACTTAAATTATTCATAGACCAAACAAAAGCTGTAGTGAGCCGTCATGCTTGTATCACCTTTGGGATTTCGCAGCCTGTAGCGCAGCCTTGACCTGAATTTTAAAAAATAATTGGAAAAAATCACTCAACTGCTAAAAAAATGAAAAATAAATATTTGCAAAATATCTGAATAAATATTTATTTCACCTGGTTAATGTGTCTGTCGGGGCGTGGTCTGCAGCGCTGCTGACCACCCTGAACCTACCAAGCCAACCAATCACCATCTCTGAGGTCTGTGAAGTTTCTGTATGAGCTAATACTGCAGGTAGTTTTGAAACAGGTATTTGAGAAAGCACGCCTGCAGCTGCGTTACGCTGTGTAGCTGCACGTTTGCCTTTTGGTCTCATTCTTCACTGAGTCGCCGGTTCGTTAATAAAGGATTCAGATCCTGGCCTGCAGTTACTGATGCACTTACTCTAAATCACTCTGGATAAGAGTATCCGAGAAGCTAAATGCCTGCATCTGTCTATATCCTTATATTGTAATTGCCACCATCCTCTATTGATTACGCTCAAAAATCCATTGAGCCTAATGTGATTTCATTAAGATACAGTCCAACCGAGCCATTCCAAACAAATCCGGCGGGCAGCAGAGTCGATCTAAAAAAGTTTTTGTTCCAGCATTCTGACGCAGACACATCGAAAATCGTTTAAGTAGTCGGGAGTTATTCCTAATGGTTTTCCAATTCTATGTCGACATGCGTCCCATGTGAGTAACGGGAGGTAAATGTTAAACAAAAGCAGAGAGGCTATAGCTGAAAGCAACTTTTGGAAACAGAGTTTTGAACTGAAATCCATTTTTGTTCAGATGAACAAGGTTATTTGTGTTCTTGAAATAAAATGATACCGCCGGCTATAAAGAGATCACACTCTCAAACGTTGCAGCTTGATGCTGTTTGCATTACGAAGCCCAAAAATAGATGGAGTAGCTGTGACTGCCAGAGGGAGCAATCCAGGCACGTATCACACAGTGTAAAAGAGCAGGTTACTCATCAAGGAGCCGTGGCCCCACGCTACGATACTTGATCTGAGATAGGGCATTAAAGGATCCTCACCGCTGAAACCCAAAGGAGAAACAGGCACCCAGCAGAGTTCAAATACCAACAGCCTCATCTCAGCAGCAGCAAGAAATACAGTCAGACATCTAGAAATAAGACTACCAACAGATTCCAAGAATATAATGCAATGTTTTTGGGGAAAATTCCACTGATGTTTTAGCATTAAGGAGGAAAAATCAGCACATGAAGCTGCAAATCCCACAGCATCGAATCCATCACTGAGGGAAAAGTGCAAATCTTCTCACTGGAAGACTAAACAAGGCTTGCAGAAAGCTGAGAAAGCGAGCCAATTAAAGCTGCCACTGACGCTGGAAGTGGAGAAGTTTGATGTTCTCCACGAGGCTGCAGCTGTTCATATAACCAGCAGCGTTACCACATTTGACAGATTTCAGCAGGATCAGGATCAGTTTGATCCCAAACGAGATCACAGCTTCCAACAGTTCCATTCATGCCCCTAAACCTGGGGTGTCCAACTCCAGGCCTTGAGGGCCGGTGTCCTGCAGGTGTTAGATCTCACCCTGGGTCAGCACACCTGAATCACATGATTAGTTCATTATCAGGCCTCTGGAGAACTTCAGGACATTTAAATCAGCTGTGTTGGATCAAGGACACATCTAAATCCTGTAGGACGACGACCCTCGAGGCCTGGACTTCCCCACCCCTGCTGTAAGCTTTCTGTGTGGCTCAATCAAAGATCATTAACAGGAACTTAAAACGAGATAATCATCCGCTCACTCACCGTACTCGATGTCATAAAACACGATGAACTTCTGCCAGCGCAGCTCCTCCACCAGCGTCAGCATGACGTCGTTGAGGCGTACGGGCGGCCGGGCGGCCAGCGTGTAGCGCTGCCCGCCGGGGCTCGGGTTGAACTGGCAGGCAGTGCGAGGAGATCCTTCGCTGTTCCTCTGGATGTACAGGTGTGGGATGTGCATGGCGTCCGTCAGGGACTGCAGGGCGCTCGCTGAGGCGCAGCCAGTAGAGGTCACCAACGCCAGGATGCCCTGGTTCATCAGCTCACAGGCTGGAAGGGGGGAAGGAAAATGGAAAAGTGAGTTTTGGTAGACAAATTATAAATTATGAACTTATATATTTATAAACTGCAACATAACCAGAAACATTTGAAAATCTGGAGCAACCACAAAGGCTGCAAAGAGTCCTGCAGAAGCCCAGCTCTAATTTTAAAAAATGCCTCCACCTCTTGTTGCTTTCCGCTCTGAAAATTAGGCCACATAAATCTAGAAGAAAGCCTGACAGGTAGCACTAATGTTCACCCTGCCCTGACCTACTTTGAACTCTTAAACCTGCTTTCTGCTTTTCAGGCAGGAGAGTCGGTACGGATGATTAAACAGGCCACATATCCACTCTGCTAAGGCTAAGTTAAAGGTTAAAATTTGGCTGGCCTCACTGGCTTTACTGGCAGATTCATCGGAATCATGTGAGGACCACCCGCTCAGCTGTCCAACCATCAACCAACTGCCAATAAACCCGAGCGAATACTGCACACACTACAATATCCCGCACATAAGAATACACTAAACGTGTCAATTGGAAGTTCCTCTACAGGGTACTATATAAATTTGGCTTTCATGATATGATTATTAAAACGATACAAGCATTATATGATAATCCTACAGCCAGGATCAAAATTAATGGATGCCTATCCAACAGTTTTACCCTAAAAAGGGGCACTAGACAGGGCTGTGCATGGTCACCGTTACTTTTTGCACTATACTTGGAACCACTAGCATTTAAAATCACCTGTTAAAAAGATGTGGAGCTCAAAAATGCTCCTTTTCCACAGTGCTGAGGCAGCACAGAGGACCCAGCTAATGGTTCCCTCTGAGCTCTTCCCCTGTTTGAACGAGGTACATCAAACCCTGTTCAGACCACAGAAGTCAGAGCAGGAGGCCAAACTGCAGACGGCACGGTTTAAGTTTCCTGAAAGCCCAGATTTCTTCAGCTTCGCATGAACTAATTTAATGTTTGCACGATGTCACAGTTAATCATCCATAACTTCATCTGTACGGCGAGTTACAAAATGAATTTCAAACTTTGACGTTTGAATAAAAGCCACACATAAAGAAAAGCAGACATGTTTGAACATACAGCACACACGTCCACACTCACAGTTTCAAACTAAGGCCCATAACAAAGGGTAAGAGCTAACCTGTAAAGATCTGTTGTTTAAAACAAATCCCAGAATCTGTGGAGGAGGAGACCCGGTTAGAGGATCGGAGGGCAGCATTTCAGACGGGTGCAGTGAGAAGCTGCACTCAGGCCCAGTGTAAAGTGCAGAAGAGTTATTTTGAGCCGTGAATCATGCAAAGCTACTTCAGGACAGTCAGCAATGAGCAGCACAGGTGCCCTTTAAGTGTTGGGATTTGTTAAACAGAGCAATAAATCATACTTAGGAGAGCATGTTGCATGAAAACAAACACTGGGGTTAAGAGAGACCGTAAATTTTGCTGGTTTGAAGGTTCATTAAAATGCGTCTCCACTTAGCATTTATATTCAGGGCAGAAATATGCCTCACCCAGAGCACACTGACTGCTGATGGCAGCTTACAGCGTTTTTTAGGAGACAGGATGTGGGAGGGGTTTAAAATGGACATCCTGTTGCAAATCAAAGCAAGAAGTCAGGATAGATAAAAGTCCATGTGGATTATTTTTGAACATATTAAGACTGCAGTGGTTTGAGAACAAGATTTTCTTTCCTATAGATGCTGCAAAGTAAAACTATGTGCTTCCTGGTGGATCTTCAGTTATTCTGACTGCTTAAAGGTGCCAGCTCCTTTCAGACGATTTATTTTCACACATACTTTCTTTGAAATGTCATCTGAAGCTACACGGAGATGTTTTCCCTCCCGCCTTCTCCTCCGACACTTAGACAGCCGTAGTTTAAACCTCTCGGAAAGCCTTGGTCTCCGGTTAGAGCCCAACTTTCTCTGCAGGAGAAGATCTGTCCAGACTGAAAGGTCAGGAGATGCTCCAAAGGGCAGCAGGCATGTTATGACTGAGCACTCACCGGGGGAAATGTGAAAAATGCTGCTGGGGTAGAAGAGCGTAAAGCACAGCCAGGTAGTCCTCCACAGAGGAAGAAAAAGGAAATGGCGTAGCAGAACAGCTGGCTGGTCACAGGGACCCTGCTTCTTAATGTTTGACGAATGAAATTTGGCTGAACTCGGGCTGAATGTCTCCGAGCTGCGAACAAACGGAGGACGGGGGAGAGATCATCAACATTCAGCCAATTTCTGCATGAAATTCATCTTTATTAACAGAACAGCGTTCAAGTCCTGCTTCGTCAGCATCCGACAGCTCGGAGAAGCGATGACGGGGCAGTAACGGCACCAACAAAATGGAAATAGTTTCCGAGATAATGAGACAAATGTCGCCGCCGTGAAAATGGAGCTAATGAACTTGCACTGAAGGATTTAGAGTGTAATCTTGTATTAAATTAGTAAATGTTTTTTTGCCAGATGAGATTGGAATTGAGCTCATAGGTCAATTTAATAAAAATAAATCAGGGCGTCCAGCACAGCGCTGAGGTCAGGTGGTCCTTAGAACTTAAGGAGCGGCTAATCCACCTGCAGGAACGTCATCGCCGCTTTCACCTGAACGCTTCGGCTCTCTCGTCAGCTTTCTGGGCAATAGTGCAGTTCAGCTTCAGTGGCTTTATTGTTGTTGGTATTTTCAGATTCATAGACACAGTGTGGTGCTGTGGAGTGCTAAACCAGGGGCCCGTTCTTATTTTTCATCAGATTTCAACACTGATTATCTGCCTGAGCGCTCTCCATTACTCCACGTGAACATATGCAGTTGTGTAGAGGTTGGAGATGTTTTGTGCAGCTGAGGGGGAATCAGCAGTGCCAAACATGTGATGTAGTCTCTTGTAAAACATCAGTTAGCACAGCTTTAAATTTATATGCAAAAAAAACAAATCCCCTGCCTCCTATCAAAATAAAAGCTCCCTTAAGCTGAGGTTCTGATCTGCGATTAAACAAAGATCCACAACAGCTGACGCGTCTCTTGTTGACGTCTCTCCACATGACAAGAACAATCACATGTTTAATGAGCCTCGGAGCATCGGGGAGTCCAATCTGCAGTCGGTCCAGCCCTGAAATCATCGAGGACCAATTAACATAATACACCAGAATGGGACTAAAAGGTTTGGAGGCTTCAGAAACACAATGCCGGTAGCTGTTGGGATAACTCACTCAGCAGCCGGAGAAAATGATTTGGGTTGCGACGTGACTCACTTGCTCTATGAGTCCACAGTGAGTCATGGTTTCATCTGTGCTAAATGAAGCCTGCACAATATTTAGCCGAAGCGACTCCCCGTGCATCCTAATGACACTTACAGAGCGACTCCTACCAGACGGCGGGAGACAAAAACCATTAGAGTCAGAGCGAGACAAAGATCTCCATCCCTCTGCCCGTCTCCTTATTAGTGTGATTTTATCAATGCCTCGCTTTGAAATTATCTACAGGAGACAAACTCCTCTCATCCTTGAATAAGGGGGAACGGATTTAGACAAAAGTCCTGTGTTAACAGTGAGTATCCACGTATTCAGGAATGCTCACTCTGCACTTGGAAATGAATTTCTTGATGAAACACCTGGATTTTCTAAACGAGGTAGCAAACATGAGCGAGGTGGCGACGCAGGCCTGGTATGTCCGCTTGGTAACCTCGTGACGTTGACAGCGATGCATCTCATATTCCTTTCAGGACTCGTCATCATCCAAGAAATATAGAAACGTGGAAAATGTTGTATTTTAGCAGAAACTGTGATTTTTCCCTTTGCTGCCCAAAGCTAATGACCATCTCTCTGCAAAGACTAACCCGGGCCTTTATTTACTTCAACTGCAGAAAGTTACGAGCCTTTATTTGAAGTAGGATTGCAATTGATGCCGGTCGGTCTTTCTTTGTCTGTTGGATCGCTGTAATTGGTCATATGAGTCATTTTTCCACTGCAGGAACTCTATTTTTATAGAAAGGCTTATTTTGGCATTCGCTCCCACTGCCAATTTAGTTTATTGTCGTATACAAGCACAGCACATTCTCACTTCTGCAAATGAAAAGCCGTCTAGTTCTTCAGCATAAACGCGGTTTTATTGTGGGACATGTATAACGACACCGACAGAGTATCGAGGGACCGCAGGATAAAGTCAAATGGAAAGAACTGCAAAGTGTTGAAAATTGAATAAATATATTATTGGACTCAAATGTTCAGTATACTTTCCCAGCATGCACAGTTTGTGAAATATACCATAAGTTCATCAACCTTTATTTTTCTGGCTTGCATTAGGAGAGCAGTATCAGTGATGGCCATCTCCCACTACCAGAAACCTGACTGATATGTCCTCCTGAGAACCAGCCTTCATTATGTCGTGCGTAGGGCTGCATGGCGCTAACGTTAACGAGCTAACCGTGCTAAGGCATTGCCGCACGGTGCGATCCACGCTGACTCGCTAACAGAGATTTGCCGCGGTTATGGCGTTAACGTCATTTTAACGAGATTAATGCTGACAGCACTAGTTTTTAGTCTATATCTTTGGACTTACTTGAGTCCTGATGTATTAAATAGAAGATATCCTTGGCTTGCCATTGATGTGTTTGGTGGCCTCTTTCAGCTCCAAGGAGGAAGGAAATCACAGATTCTTTTTCCCTCGGTTCTCAGGAGGATATGACAACTTTTCTGGGACGAGGGGATGCAGCGAGGTGTTCTGCTGCTGAAACTTGGCCAAAGATAAGGTAAAAAGTTAGCTGGGGTTGATGGACTGTCCTTGTGACCCACTGTAGAGCTAAAACACCAGGTGACAGCTGCAGATGGAGGTCATCGCACTCATACAGACGTCACTGACCATTTCTCAGGCCTCCAAAAACAGAGGTGCTCACCCCAAAAACATCCGTCACGCAGTCAGGATTCGAACAGTAGTCTGAAGGGCACCGAGCTGCTAGCACAGCTGAATACATCCAGGTTACCATTCCCTGAGATGCTGTGAGACTGCTCAGGTATGTCAT